TGGGCAACAGAGTGAGACTCCAACTCAAAAAAAAAAATAAAATAAAAAATAAAAACTTTTTCTATTTTTAAACCTTTTTATTGTTAAAAACTAAGATGCAAGCTGGGTCCGGTGGCTCATACCTATAATCCTAGCACTTTGGGAGATGGAGATGAGAGGATTGCCTGAGCCGAGGGTCTCAAGACCAGTCTGGGCAACTTGGTGAGATCTCGTCTCTACACAAAAAATTAGCTGGGTGTGGTGGTGCCTACCTGTAGTTCCAGCTACTTGAAAGGCTGAGGCAGAAGGATCGCCTGAGCCCAGCAGGTTGAGGCTGTAGTGACTGTGAGTGTGCCACTGCACTCAGCCTGGGCAACAGAGTGAGACTCCAACTCAAACAAAACAAAACAAAACAAAACAAAAAACTAAGATACAAATACATCAGCCTAGGCTTACACAGGGTCAGAACAATCAATATCACTGTCTTCCACCTCTATATCTTGTTCCATTGGAAAGTTTTCAGGAGCAATAGCACACATGGAGCTATGATAATACCTTGTTCTAGAATACCTTCTGAAGGATCTGCCTGAGGCTGTTTTACAGTTAACTTTTAAAAAATATAAGTAGAAGGAATACACTTGCAAATAACAATAAAAAGTACAGTGTAGTAAGTACATAGACTAGTAATATAGTCATTTATCATCATCAAGTATTATGTATACATTTATATTGTGCTACTCTTTAATATGACTAGCCACACGTGAGGATCCCTTGACCCCAGGAGTCCAAGGCTGCAGTGAGCCATGATTGTGCCACCACTGCCTTCCAGCCTGGGTGATGGAGTAAGACCTAGTCCAAAAAAAAAAAAAAAAAAAAAAAAAAAAAAAAAAATATATATATATATATATATGACTGGCAGCACATTTTTATCACAACACATGAGTAGTATATTGTGCTACTACATTATGACAGCTACAGTGTCTTTAGATAATAAAAGTTTTTCAGCTCCATTATAATCTTATGGGACCATGGTCATATATGTGGTCCATCATTAACTAAAACACTGTTATGCGGTACATGACTATATATAATTTGCAAATAATTTCTCCCATTTTGTCGGTTCTTTTCATTCTTTTGATGATGTCCTTTGAAATACAAAATTTTTATTTTATTTATTTATTTTTCCTATTTATTTATTTTAATTATTTTTTTAGTTGGAATCTCACTCCATCACCCAGGCTGGAGTGTGGTGGCACACTCACGGCTACCGCAGCCTCGAACTGGCTGGGCTCAGGCAGTGCTTCTGCCTCAGCCTTCCAAGTAGCCAGAACTACAGGCATGCTCTACCATACCCGGCTTATTTTTTGATTTATTGTAGAAACGAAGTCTTGCCAAGTTGCCCAGGCTGGTCTTGAACCTCTGAGCTTAGGCAGTCCTCTTGCTTCAGCCTTCCAAAGTGCTGGGATTACAGGCTTGAGCCTCTGCACCTGGCCTGAAGTACAACATTTTTGTACTTCAGTTATGGGGAAGTCTTAACTATCTGTTTTTACTTTTGTTGTTCTTGCTTTTGGTATCTTATCTAAGAAGGCTTGGACTCACCGAACGTCATAAAGATTTTATTTCTATGATTTATTTTAAGAGTTTTTAAAAAATAGGTTAAGCTTTTACATTTAAGTCTGTGATCCATTTTGAATTTATTTTTGTAATATTATGTGAAGTAGGGTACAACTTTATCTTTATGTATGTGGATAGCCACATGTCTCAGCATCAGTTGCTGAAAAAGATTATACTTTCCCATTGAATTATCATGTACCCTTCTGAAAATTGTAAATGTGTAAGGGCTTATTTGTACACTCTGAGTTCTATTTCATTGATTTATATGTCTATTCTTACATTGGTACCAAAATATTTTGATGACTCTAGCTTTGTAGTAAATTTTGAAATCAAGAAGTATGAGTCTTCCAATTTTCTTTCTTTTTTTTTTTTTTCCTCAAGATTGTTTTGGCTATTCTGTGTCCCTTGCAGTTCCATCAGAATTTTAGGATCAACTTGACAATTTTGGCAAAAAAGGCAGCTTGGATTTTCTTTGAGATTGCATAGATCAATTTGGGGAATAGCAGACATTACTTTTATAAGTAATGTAAGGGGGAGACAGAACTCCTTAAAGTCATCAGTTACATGTTCTCTCAGTAATGTTAATTTTTCTGGTTTCACTGATTGATTTTATTGATAAAGACGGATTTTTCTTATTACATTTCCTCCCTTTAGATGAATTTATTATGTTCATATATTACATATGCTTAAGAAAGTCATTTATAATTAAGTAAAAACTTATTTATGTTATCATTATTTTAATGATTTTTAATGTAGTATCTGTGTGAGAAGTATTATAAACCTATTACAGTATAGTACTATGTAGCCGATTATGTTAGTTGGATACTTAGACTAACTTTGTTGGATTTACAAACAAATTGGACTTACAAATGCAATCTTGGAATAGAACTCATTCGTATGTAGGGGACTTACTGTAGTTTTAACAAAGAGGTGGTTAATTGTCCTTCTGCTTAGGGAAAGCATTGCTGACTCTTCCATTGCACCTGACCCTTCATGGAATTTTTTGATCATGTATATTCTTGTACCTAAAAGTGAGAAAGTTGTGTGTTCTTGGAGACAGAGATAAGTACAGGAAAACTTGATTCTGTATTTTTACTGTTTTTAAAAGGTAAAGTAGAAAGTAATAGAAAACATTAAGATAATCATTTAAATTTAGTGTTAAACTTTAATCTTGTCTGGATTATTAAACTGAGGACTCTGGATGTCAATAATAATTTGAATAGGTGATTTAAAATGACAGTGAGCAATAAATGAGAAATTTGTCTCTGTTATCTGTTGTTGATATTATTGGGGATCCAGAGTGGTGGTATAATACAAAGAAAATGAACTTTGGAGTCAGATCTGGGTTCATTTCTTGGCCCTGACATGATAATACTAACATTGGTGATAATATAAATAATTATCATTTATTGAGCAAACTATACCAGATACCATGCTAAGCTTTTACATATGTCATTTTGCTTAATTTTCACAATAGTCCTGAAAATTCAGCTTTTGATCTTTATTTTCTTCTTAGAGTAAATGAAAGTAAGAGCAGTTAAATATAAAGCCTGTGACAGAGCTAGGTGTCCCTCTGTAGCCTCCCCCCCCCATTATATAATGGTATTTTCTCTTCTTTCTAGCCATTCTCCTAGGTTTCCTAGAATCCTGTCCCCAGTCTGTAAGCAGAAGCTCTTCTCTGTTGTTAGGTGTAATTGTTAGGTCTACTTAAGGAAATGTTTGAGAAACATTGCTGTAAGACTGTCACTTCATCATTCCATCACAATATATTCTCCTGTTGTTATGACACAGAATGTAATTATTGCCTAGCATGTGATTATAACAGATGAGAAAGAATGCTTCAAAGATTGCATGAGTAGTTCATATTTTCATTAGTTATTAATCTTTCTTCCCAAAGTTTTCAGGTTTGGGCATTTAGTCAGGCATTTCATCTCTTCCCCTCATTCATCTTTCTTCACTCAACTTTTTTTTTTCCAGAATTTGAATTCTTATACAAATGGAGCATATGGTCCAACATACCCTCCTGGCCCTGGGGCAAATACTGCTTCGTACTCTGGGGCTTATTACGCACCTGGATATACTCAGACCAGTTACTCCACAGAAGTTCCAAGCACTTACCGTTCACCTGGCAACAGCCCAACCCCAGTCTCTCGTTGGATGTATCCCCAACAAGACTGTCAGACTGAAGCAACCCCTCTTAGGGGGCAGGTTCCAGGATATCCTGCTTCACAGGTAAGGTATTTTCTGTTGGGAAAAATTAAAAGTCTTTGCCTCTTGAACTGTAAACAGTAGAAGGGTGTCTACACTAGCGCTAATTTAAGAAAATGCTTCCGGAAGGCTGAGGCAAAAGGATCGCTGGAGCCCAGCAGATCGAGGCTGTGGTGGCCAGGAACATGCCACTGCACTCCAGTCTGGGTGACAGAGTGAGACTCCAACTCGAAAAAAAAAAAAAGAAAAAGAAAAAGAAAACATTTCCAGATTGGGAAGGCTGGGACTACTTTTATATTGATGCCTTTCTTACTTATAGCAGTTATTGTAGTAAATGAATTTTGCTTGAACGTACCTTAAGGATGTCATAATCATACAATTTCTATACTGAGATAAATTTTTAGAAAGTTGTTGCTTGAAAGTTTTCCTATCTCAGCCTTTTTTTTTGAGTTGGAGTCTCACTCTGTTGCCCAGACTGGAGTGCAGTGGCCGCTCCCGGCCACCGCAGCCTCGACCTGCTGGGCTCCGGTGATCCTTCCGCCTCAGCCTTCCAAGTAGCCGGAATTACAGGCGCGCGCTACCATGCCCGGCTGATTTTTTGATTTATTGTAGAGATGCTCAGCCTTTTTTAATGCTATGTTAGGTTCCTTTTTTTTTTTTGAGTTGGAGTCTCACTCTGTCGCTCAGGCTGGAGTGCAGTGACACACTCACGACCACCACAGCCTTGACCTGCTGTGCTCAGGTGACCCTTCCGCCTCAGCCCTCCAAGTAGCCGCTACCACGCCCAGCTAATTTTTTGGTGTTATTGTAGAGACAAGGTCTCACCAAGTGACCCAGACTGGTCTCGAACCCCTGGGCTCAGGCAATTCTCTCTCCTCAGCCTTCCAAAGTACTGGGATTATAGGCTTGAGCCACTGCGCCTGGCCGTTTTTTTTTTTTTTTTTTTTTATTTGAGTTGGAGTCTCACTCTGTCACCCAGACTGAAGTGCAGTGGCCGCTCCTGGCCACCACAGTCTCAACCTGCTGGGCTCCGGCGATCCTTCCGCCTCAGCCTTCCAAGTAGCTAGAACTATAGGTGCGCGCTACCATGCCCGGCTCATTTTGATTTATTGTAGAGATGAGGTCTTGCCAAGTTGCCCAGGTGGGTCTCGAACCCGCAGGCTCAGGCAATCCACTCACCTCAGCCTACCAAAGGCGGGGGATTACAGGCTGAGCCACCAAGTCCAGCTGTTTTTTTTTTTTTATAGCACATATAACTCATGAATATTTATAATTTGCAAACATAAAACACTATATCTAGATATATTTTTATGTGTATATATTTTTAAATATTCTACGAGTTATATCTTGTTTTTTGTTTACTCAAGAGAAGTTCTGATATGTCTTTATTTGTGCTTCTATGGGTCCATTTGTTGATAGTATCTATGGGACAGACTTACACTTTATCTGTTGAATTTTAGGCCTTATTCCTTCTGAGTTTTATTTCCATCAAATCTCCCCTTGTTTTCTTTGGAACCAAGATTTTTAGGGTTGGATAAATTATTGAAACTGAGTTAATTAGAGTTACCACAATTAGACAAGTAGCAGCTAACGTATACTCTGTTAGGCAGAGAGGAAGTATCTCAGAATCTGTCTGTTGTTGAATATTTTCACTACTTTTTTCGAATCAGAGTCTCACTCTGTTGGCTGGAGTGCAGTGGCACACTGACGGCTACTACAGCCTTGCCCTGCTAGGCTCAGCTGATCCTTCCACCTCAGCCTTCCAAGTAGCTGGAACTGCAGGCATGCACCAACATGCCTGGCTAATCTTTTTGATTATTGTAGAGATGAGGTCTCACCAAGTTGCCCAGGATGGTCTCGAACCTCTGGACTTAGGCAATCCTCTTGCCTCTGCAAGTGCTGGGATTACAGGTGTGAGCCACCATGCCGGCTTTCTACTTCTTTTAAGTTACTTTTAGCAATGACCGGCATATTCCTTCCTCTCAATCTAGAACCCTGGAATGACTCTGCCTCATTACCCTTATGGTGATGGTAATCGTAGTGTTCCACAGTCAGGGCCGACTGTACGACCACAGGAGGATGTGTGGGCTTCAGGTGCTTATGGAATGGGTGCCCGTTACCCATGGCCTTCAACTGCATCCTCAGCACCACCTGGGAATCTCTACATGACTGAAAGTACTTCATCATGGCCTAGCAGTAGTTCTCCTCAGACACCTCCTTCACCACCTCTCCAGCAGCCCAAGGTAGGAGGCCTTCTAAATGGTCTTTGCTGTTTGGGTAATTAAAAGGGAATAACATGGAACTTTTTTGCATTGGGCTCTGTTGAATGGCAACTAATTGCAAAAAGTTGGTGACGACGACTACTACTGCTACTATTTACACCTATAGCTTTTTCTCTTTTTAAAAAAAAAAAAAATAGACTTTATTTTTTAGAGATTTAGGTTCACCACCTTTTTTTTTTCTTTTCTTTTTTTAAGTTGGAATCTCATTTTGTCACCAAGGCTGGAGTTTAGTGGCATGCTCACGGCCACTATAGCCTCAACCTGCTGGGCTGAGGCTATCTTTCCGCCTCAGCCTTCCAAGTCGCTGGAACTACAGACATGTACCACCATACCCAGCTAATTTTTTTGATTTATTGTAGAGATGATGTCTCACCATGTTGCCCAGGTTGGTCTTGAACTCCTGGGCTCAGGCAGTCCTCTTGCCCCTCCTCCAAAAGTGCTGGGATTATAGGTGTGAACCACCACACCTGGCCATATCCTTTTTTTTTTCTTTTTCCGATTTGGAGTCTCACTTTGTCTCCCAGGCTGGATTTTAGTGGCATACTCATGACCACCCCAGTGTTGACCTGCTGGACTCCGGTGATCCTTCTGTCTCAGCTTTCTAGTAGCTGGAACTATAGGTGTGTGCTACCATGCCCGGCTAATCTATTTTTTTATTGTAGAGACGAGGTCTCGCCAAGTTGCCTGGGCTGGTCTCGAACCCACAGGCTCAGGCAGTCCATTTTTCTTGGCCTCCCAAAGTGCTGGCATTAGAGACTGAGCCACCAAACACAGCTCACATCCTTTTTTCAGAAGACAGAAGTCCAGGTGCAGTGGTTCATTCCTGTAATCTTCAACCCTTTGGGAGGCTGAGGCAAGAAGATTGCTTGAGCCAGAGAGTTTGAGACCAGTAACCTGGGCAACATAGCCAGACCTCGTCTCTACAAAAAAAGCAAAAAAAAAAAAAAAGCTGGGTGTGGTGGCACATGCCTGTAGTCTCAGCTACTTGGGAGGCCGAGGTGGAAGGGTCACCTGAGCCCAGGAGGTCAAGGCTACAGTAACTGTGATTGTGCCACTGCACTCTAGCCTGTGCAACAGAGTGAGACTCTGACTCAAAAAAAAAGACACAAAAGTGTACATTTTCTATGTGTTGTAATTCTGTCTGAATGTTAAATGCAAAGATTGTATTTTACTACTTTAAGTAACCTACACACAGAAGGCAAAAATAGTGTGAAATGTCTACAGTATTAGCTTGTATTTAATTAATTAATTGAATTGAATTGAAGCTTCACCTTATCGCCCAGGCTGGAGTGCAGTGGGACACTCAAAGCTACTCCAACATTGACCTGCTGTGCTCCAGTGATCCTTCTGCCTCAACCTTCCAAGTAACCGGAACTACAGGCACGTGCTACCATGTCTGGCTAGTTTTTTTTGATTTATTGTGGAGATGAGGTCTCGCCAAGTTGTGGGGGCTGGTCTTGAACTCACAGACTCAGGCAGTCCACTCGCCTTGGCCTCCCAAAGTGCTGGAATTACAGGCTGAGCCACTGAGCCCAACGAGCTTGTATTTAAACTATAGACTAGGCTGGGCTTGGTGACTCAGCCTGTAATCCCAGCACTTTGGGAGGCCAAGGCAACTGGATTGCCTGAGCCCGCGTTTGAGACTCACCCGGGCAACTTGGCTAGATCTCATCTCTACAACAAATCAAAAAGTAGCCGAGCATGGTAGCGCACACCTATAGTTCCAGCTACTTGGAAGGCTGAGGCAGAAGGATTGCCAGAGCCCAGCAGGTTGAGGCTGCGGTGGCCGGGAGCTTGCCACTGTACTCCAGTCTGGGCAACAGAGTGAGATTCCAACTCAAAAGAAACAAATAAATAAAATAAACTATAGACTAGAACATCATCTGCTTGTGACTGTGTTCCTTTACAAGATCTTTCATGTGGTTTTAATTGTTTAGGGAAAAAAGTATTTAATTCTTACTAAGTCATTGGATGGATTATGAAGTGCTCATGATAGCCTGCCTCAAGGCAGGTTCTAGCCACTGTATCTCAGGAATTCTCTGCCTTCTATGTGACAGGGCATTTCCTTTTATCTTCTTAGGACTGTGTGTTTCTCAAATGATTAATATCTGTTCTTGGAAAAACAGTTCTTTCTTCATAAGATATCTAAGTGATAATTTTTTTCCTGGACTGCTGACTCTTTCAGTGATACTAATCTATCAGCTATTTCTACTCCTCATAAACAATACCAAACCAATACAAACATATTAGATGACGAGAGGAAATGTAGTATAAAATATTGGCTGGGATGAGTGATTTTATAAGATAATGTAGTGATAATTTTATTCTAGGATTTTTATTTGTGGCCTAGTATAGGAGTATTTTAAAAAGGCTTTTCTATGAAAATCAGAAAATTATAATTCGGACTAAAAATCTAGCAGGGGGAGAATCTCTAAGTTACTAGTGAGACAATGACTAATTCAGAAAGGAACACTGCTATTTCACTGAGTATCAAGATGCCAATTTCCATGAAGTCCTGATTTATATATGTACATACATTAATGCACATATATACATATGTGTATATGTTTTTAATAGTTTTTAAAAATATTTTTGAATTGTACTTTTTTTTGTTTTTTGAGTTGGGGTCTCACTGTCACTCAGGCTGGAGTGCAGTGGCACACTCATGGCCACCCCAGTGTCAATCTGCTGGGCTCCGGTGATCTTTCCGCCTCAGCCTTCCAAGTATTCGGAATTACAGGTGTGTGCTACCACGCCTGGCTAATTTTTGATTTATTGTAGAGACGAGGTCTCACCTATTCGCCCAGGCTGGTCTCGAACCCACGGTCTCAGGCAATCCACTTGCCTGGGCCTCCTAAAATGATGAGATAATTTTAGACTTATAGAAGAGTTGTAAAAATCAATCGAGTCCTTGGATACTCTTTACCCACTTTCTCCTTATGTTCACATCTTGCATAAACATAGAACATTTGTCAAAATTAAGAAATTAACCAGCTGGGCTCGGTGGATCAGCCTGTAATCCCGTGCCTTGGGAGGCTGAGGTGAGTGGATTGCCTGAGCCCGTGGGTTCGAAACCCGCCTGGG